ACTCCATCAGCTTCTTGACTGGCGCGATTATTGCACCAGCCTCTCCCGATATCGTCTACATAGTGTCAGATCCGCTGAAGCGCGTATACGACCCGCAGGACAGGCTGACAAGAAGGCACTTCCGGTAACTGGATGTATTCGCGCACAGTACGCAAGGATGGAGACTGCTAGTATGCCTGGTACTGACTGGAAGATCGATTTTGAAAACAAGAAATGGCTGCCGCATATTCCTCAAGACTGGGCGCTGCATTCACTTTGTCTACGGCCTGTCGCCCGGGGCAGGTTTGTCCTCTTTGGTTGTGCACGACTTGTATACAGCGGTAGAAACAAAGAACGTCGCTCGTAAGGTCAGAAAGACCTGTTAGCAATAGTAGAGCTCTCCTAGCAGACTCCAGAAACAAAGAAGTAGTGCAATTATGTACCATTCATCCACTCTTATCGTTAGTGAGCCGTGCGGTCCCTACCCACCGACCGCCACCAGCCTTTGCTGTTTGTACATCTCACACATCGCCTCACCACCCCGCCACTTCGCCCCACCACCGCATTTTGTGGTTCACCCCACACGATATTCAACGCAAGGCAGCTTGTGTGCCAGAACCAAGCTGCATCTAATTATGCCCTTACTAGCTAGCAGTACCGTCCCAAACTACATCCAACCACAGCTGAGCGGTTCGCCTCACGCGATTTTCACCAATCAGCAGATCTTTGTGCATTACTCTCACCATCCTCCTTGGCTACATTTTTTCATGACATCGTGTGCCGCGCATGCTCGAACCGGAGCTCCAGCAACATGTGACCAATCTTTGTATAGACAGCAAGCATTCTCCCCGCGCTTTCGAGCTCATTGTTACATCAAGAGCAGCACTTGGTCAGCATCCTGGTAGCAACGCCCAGCTACCGATGTGATGGAGCAAATGAGGCCCCTTGTGCCTATGGACAGTTCCTAAAGCGATCAAGAGCTCCACGAGAAGGTCATCGCTGCGCGTCGTTCTGGTGGTTCCTGTGAGGGCAGGATTTCAAACTGAGAAAAAAGTGTGGTGCACATTTTACATGTGGTACACATGCACAACATATACCTGTAGTCTAAGCTGTAGACTGTGGGCGGGGTACAGGCTTGTGACATCTGTGATTCAGTATCCCACCTCAAATCTAGGTGGAATTGATGAATTGTGTGGCGCCAACAGTAATTTTATAGGTGTTTCTGGTATTTTGTCTTTTCGGGCACGTTGTGCACAGTATTATGGAAGAAACGACGGGATTTTTCTACAAAATTCGCCAAATCTCGGTCAACGTTAAAAATTTGCTCCTCCGTCGCGCTCTTCGTCAAGGACGTATTGCAGTGCCATTGAGCCCCCTGGGCGGCCCCTAAGACGGTTTTAATCTCCTTAGCCTTTGGCCCATCTTATGGCAGATGTAGATGCACCAACGCGTAGCCTAGAAGGTACCTAGATGTGATAATGTTCGTGTAGTGCAAGGTAGTCACTGGATTAGAGCAAGCAAGAAAATCACAGTGAACAATGAGGTAAACCGTTCACTTGCAAAGTCATCGAAGAGGTAGATAGGTTGCACGGTACGACCGGCACGTCTATAGCACAAATGACCAGAGGTGTCATATGATACCAATCTAAGAGCGCCTCTGAGTGTCATGATATGGGAAGAAAAACGCTGGAGCGGGCCGTCCTGAACGAGGTAAACAGAGGATAATCGGAAATTATGCCAGGTCAAATATATCTATCATCAACACTGAAATAACTATCACGCTACTCCCATCAACCTCATTGTCTCGTCGTTTAAATCTGCGCATCAGAAC